AGCCCCCCAGGCGCCCCCCGGCTCCCCCCCAGCCCGCACCTGGTACTTGGCCAGCTCCCCGCTCCGCCGGTCCCGCAGCCCCTCCAGCTGCCGGTGTAACGCGCCCACCGCCCCCCGCAACGCCTCCACCTCGGCGGCTCGGGCTCGCAGCAGCCTCCGGTAACCGGCGGCCTCAGCACGGGCACGGAGCACCGCCTCGCCGCCGCCCCCGCCGCCCCACCGGCACCGGGGCCGGCCCTCGGCCGCGCTCATCCCGGTGGTAATGCGGTTCCACCCCTCCGCGTCACGGAACCGCAGCCAATCCCGCCGGTACCGGCTGTCCGACTCCTCCCGATAGCAACGGAGAGGGGGAGCCCGCAGAAGCCTGTCCCCCAAAAGTGGGGTGAGGGGCTGCAGCATCGCGGGTAGCGGGGGGGTGGGGGGCAAGGTCGAGTTCAGGGTCAAGGTCACAGTTGTTACCCCCCACCACACCCTTCATCCCCTCCATCATCATCATCAGAGGCTGGAGTCGGGCTGGATGGTCCTGGAGGGGGGAACCCCCACTCAGGGGGGGGTCACTGGGGAGGGGGTGCAGAGATTTGCCAGAAGAAGGGGGGATTCAGCCCCTCTGCACCCCACGAGGGTCCTGTGGGTCACGCCGAGGCTCAGTCTGTGGGAGGTGACTCCCGGGGGGAGTCAGGCGGAATCCATCAGCATGGGGGGCACCCCGAGCCCATGGCGGGGGGCTGCACGGGCATGTCCAGACCCAGGGAGCTGACAGACCAGGGTGTGGGGAGCGGGGGGCCCAGACCGTCCGTCTGTCCCACCACGGGGTGAGGCCAGGGTGGCCAAGTCCTTCTGCACAGATGGAAGCCGGAGGTGGCAAACTCCTCCCGGGATAAGGCAAGTGGTGCGGGTGGTGCAGACCCCACTGTCAGGGTGGGGGGCTTCCAGCACCAGGAATGGGAGCTCCACGCCCTGCCCTGCTCCAGGTGGGCTGGAGGCTGTGGAGCTCAAAGGGAGCCAGTGTGACCCACGGAGCTGCTGGTGGGGGAGCTGCAGAACTCTGCCAGGTGTGGGGGCCCATCCCTGGGCTCCCAGGGGTCCGGGCAGGGAGCTGCAGGAGTCCATGGGGTGTAGAGGCCCAGCCCTCAGCTCCCACGGGTCTGAGCAGGGGGCTGCAGACATCTGTGGGGTGCAGGGGCTCAGCCCTGGGCTCCTGGGGGGCAGGCAGGGGGCTGCAGAGGTCCATAGGGCATGGGGGCCCATCCGTGGGCTCCTGGGGGTCCAGGCAGGGGGCTGCCCACAGCAAGGCTCCAGGTGGGGTTTGGTGAAGCTTTGAGTCCAACCGCATGGGCACGGCCTCACTCGTGGCTGGTCTCTCCATGGCAGGGAGGGGGCTGCCAGTGCGGGGCTCTCAGGAAGCTGCAGCCCCTTCCCTGCCACGGTCCAGGCTCAGAGCCCAGCAGGCTCCCAGTGCCACCTCCTGGCACATCAGCAGCACCCAGGGCCCTCACACCACAGAGGCCACCCCGGAGACCGACGTCACCTTGTTGTCCTCGGCCCAGGGCTGGAGGTTCTGCAGGGCGTAGAGCGAGGAGTTGTGCATGCAGAGCGGGTCCTGCGGCAGCGGCTGCGCCAGGCTCTTCTGGAAAGCCTCCTGCTGCAGGTGCAGCATCAGCCGGTTGGCCTGCTGCCGCTCCGCCTCGCGCTCCTCCGCCGTCTGACGCCTGCAGACACCCACCCAGGCTTGGCACCGGCCGCAGCTGGCACCGCCACTGTCCCTCGTCCCCTGGTTGTGACATGTGACGCGTCCCACAACGCCGCCAGACCGCGCCCGGTGGCGCACAGGGGAGGCCACGGCGGTGGGCAGCCCACGCCATCCATCCCCAGTGCCAGCCTCTCCCTGAATGCAGGGCTTGCTGCTGGAGGGATGTGGGGTTCGGGGCTGCCAGAGGGATATTGGGGTGGCTGCCAGAGGGATACTGGGGGGGCTGCCAGAAGGAAATTGGGGTGGCTCTCATAGAACTTATGGGGTGTCTGCTAGAGGGATATATTGGGGTTTCTGCCAGAGGGATACATAAGGGTGGCTGTCAGAGGGATATTGGCATGTCTGCCAAAGGGATATATTGGGGTGTCTGCCAGAGGGACACATAGGAGTGGCTGCCAGAGGGATATTGGGGTGTCTGCCAGAGGGACACATAGGGGTGGCTGTCAGAGGGATATTGGGGTGTCTGCCAAAGGGATATATTGGGGTGTCTGCCAGAGGGGTATATTGGGGTGTCTGCCAGAGGGACACATAGGAGTGGCTGTCAGAGGGATATATTGGGGTGTCTGCCAGAGGGATATATTGAGGTGGCTCTCATAGGGATATATTGGGATGGCTGCTAGAGGGATATATTGGGGCAGCTGTCAGATGGATATATTGGGGTGGCTGTCATAGAGATTATGGGGTACCTGCCAGAGGGATATTGGGGAGGCTGCCAGAGGGATATTGGGGTGTCTACCAGAGGGGTGTGAGCATCACGGTTGTGGCAGCTACCCCAGAGCCGTCCCTGTTACCTCCACTTGGTGCGGCGGTTCTGGAACCAGGTCTTGACCTGGGCGTCCGTCATCTTGAGGGCCTTGGCCAGGGCAGCGCGCTCGGCCGAGGCCAGGTATTTCTGCCGGTGGAAGCGCTTCTCCAGCTCGCAGATCTGCACGCGGGAGAAGGACGTGCGCGGCTTCTTGCGCTTGGGAGGCGTCCGGTTCTGGTACGGGTGCCCGATGCGCCGCGTCACCGCGAAGGGCGACAGCGCAGCTGTGGGGACAGCGGCGTGAGGGGGGGCTCGGGGTGACCCCAGCAAAGCACAGCAGAGCAGGACCCTGGGGGACGGCAGGGGCTCGGGGCCATGGGGATGGGGAGCTCCGAGGGGGCACATGGGGGTGGGGAGTGCCAGGGGAGCCACCAGTGCTGCCTGGGAGAGCAGGGGAGGGGACACCCAGAGCTGTCCTCACCTTGGGGACATGGGGGCAGCTCAAGACGTGGCATGAGGGAGGACTCGTCCCCTTTCCGACCCCACGGCATGGTCAGCAATGGAATGCCGGGGTGGATGGGCTGGCCTGGTCACAGGACTGATGCAGGAACATCCAGCCCGACTGCACAAACCCACCGAGCCCTGCCACAGCCCCCGAGGAGCCTGTGGGGCGCTGCGGGGACTGCCCAGCCCTGCCCGTGAGGGGATGGGACCACAGAAGCTGTTGGGAGGCAGACAGTGTCTCTTTCCATGGGCCAGCAGTGCCCGGGCTGGCCACTGCCAGGGGCCGGGAAAGGGGATGTCCCTGCCCAGCTGAGGTGTGAGCCAGCCTGGTGAGGCCACCGTGCCACATCCCAGCCTGGTGAGGCCAATGTACCAAACCCAGCCCTGGTGAGACCAACGGGCCACATCCCAGCCTGGTGAGGCCACCGTACCAAACCCAGCCCTGGTGAGGCCAACGTACCAAACCCAGCCCTGGTGAGGCCACCGTGCCACATCCCAGCCTGGTGAGGCCAAAGTGCCACATCCCATCCCTGGTGAGACCAACATGCCACATCCCAGCCCCAGAGCTGCAGGGAGCATCAGAGCAGCGAAGCAGCATGGAGGAAAGTGAAGGCTTGGCAGGGCCAGCCCCCAACGCCTGTGCCCCTCCTGCTCTGGCAGCAGCCTCGACCAAGCCATGACCCTACGGCAGCACGTCCCCGTGGCGCCATGGCACCACAGCTGCCACCAGGGCTGCACATGGCCAGGATCATGGGTGGCCATGGGGCCACAGCCCCCCACGGCACAGGGACGTGGGGTACAGCCCACAGCACCCCAGGGACCCCCTGGCACCCTCCCACCCGTACCCAGGAGGCCGCCTGGCCGCCGCCGGGGGCGGGCAGGGCTGAGGCAGGTGGAGCCGCGCAGTCGGGGGGACGGAGGCCCCCGTGCCCCCTCCCCACGCGGGGCGGCCCCTCGCCGGGACCAGCTGCCTCCTGCCCGCAGCCCACCCCAAGGCCGGTGGTGCTGAGTGATGGCTGCGGCTGGGAGACCCCGTGCCGGGGAGGGGCTGCCCCATCCACCCAACGCTGGCGCCAGGCAGGAGACGAGGACGTCACCCGCCACCCCTGCGCGGGGACGGTGCTTCGTCACCGCTGCCATGGCGGGCTGGGCCGGGAGGCGAACACGGTTCTGCTGGCGCCCGGGTGGGACCCCCACGGTCCCCAGCCTCCTGCCCCACACCGCCCCATCGCCCACATGGCCAGGACTCGGCCCCCAGCCCCGCACGGCCTCCAGCCTTGTCCCCGCATGCGGCCACACACTGTGGACGTGGCAGTGCCGCCATCTTGGGTGGGAGCAGAGCTCAGCCAGGCCGGGGGTCCCCAGCACCCACACACGCTCCCAGCGCCCAGGACCCCAAGCTCAGCACCCCTCCTGCTCCTCGGGTGCAGCAACCAGCACCCCCAGCCCAGCACTGCTGCTCAGCCCCCACCACGGCCCCCAGCAGCGGTATCTCAACCCCTCGCTGCCTCCCCAACGCCCGCGTCGCCGCCCTGGCCTCTCCCACAGCACTGGCACTCAGTGTTCCACACCGATCCCTGCACGTTCAGATCCAGGATCCCATCCCCAGACGCCCCACAGGTCCCCCTGCACCACCGCCCCCATTCTCCGGGGTCACAAGGCATGGGACATCTGCCCTGTGCAAGGATGGGCTTTGTGCTCAGTCCCACGGTGGGTCCCCCACCCTGCACCGTGTCCCCACAGAGCCCCCACATCACATCTCGCACCCCGCAGAGCCCCCACCCCACTCTCGGTTCCAAGGGAGCCCCCACTCCGCACCCACCCCACACCTCGGCTCCCCACACCCTCCCGGTTACGGTGGCACAGGGTCGCCACCGGCACCTCCAAACCGAGGAAGGGACCAAACACAGAGTAGAGCTCGAGACCGGAGCCCGCTGAGACCCCCCGGGCTCCACCCGGAGCCACCGGACCCTGCCCGGTGCCGCGGCGAAGCCGCCGGTAGCAGCGTCTACCCCGAGCCGCTTCCGCGGGCCCCGACGGCTGCGGGCGAGCACCGGGCGCTGCGGGAACCTGTGGAGCGCACGGTCCCCGCCATCCCCATCCGAGCCCCGTGTCCGCCCCGACCCGCGCCGCGCCCGCCGGACCGCGCTGCCCCGACGGAACGGCGGGAGCGGCCGGTGCCGCGTGAGTCCCCGGAGCCGTCCAAAGCCGCCGGTAGCTGCCGGTAGCCGCCGGTAGCCGTCCCGCCCGCTCACCTGAGAGCCGGTCTTTAGCGATGCGGCGGGTGGTCTCCATCCAGGGGAAGGTGAGCCCCGGCAGCGCGGGCCCCGGCGGCGGCGCGCCCGGCGCGGCGGGCGGCGCGGCGCGCCGGGACGCGGATGACTCCGGCGGGCGGCGCGGCGGGCGCGGGGGTCACGTTCACGCTCACGTTCATGCTCATGTTGAGATTGTAGGAGCCGAGCGGACCGGTGGGGCCGTAGCCGCTGCCGTAGAGCCCGTAGTCGGGCTCAGCCGCTGCCCGGTGCGGCCCCGTGGGCTCGGGGCCGCCCAGGATCTGGTCGATGCCGAAGCTGATGGGCTCGTGGGGCGCGGGGGGCCCCGGGCCGCCGCCCTCCCGCTCCATCCCGGCCGCGCTCAGAGCAGGCGAAGCGCGGGCATGGCCGGGGGGCGGCGGGGGGCGGCGGCGGCGACGGGCACGGAGCGGCCGGTGCGGGGCAGGACGCGGTGCAAGGTGCGGCTGCGGGCCCGGAGCAAGGTGCGGGGCAGGTGCCGGGTGCGGGTGCGGGCCCGGGGCAGGGTGCGGGGCATGGCTCGCAGCCTCTGGCAGCCCCGGGGCGGGAGCGCGGGTGGGCTGCGGGCCCCGGCGGGACGCGCTTTTCTGCCCCGCTCCATCCGGACCGGCCGAACTCCCACCGCCTGCGCCCTGATTGGCGGCCGCGCGCCGTGATTGACAGCCCGGGGCCCCGCCCCCGCTCCGGGACCCCCCC